ATGTCTCTGCACATTTCCACCCATCGCCCACATTGAGTCAGCGGTCGAGACGCGGCAGTATCGAGGGACGAATGGGCATCGACGAATAACATGCGTGCTTCGACGAATAACATGCGCGTCCCCCCTGACTACAGGTCTCCCCCGCGCGGCCCCACCCCCGGACTACAGGTACCCCCCCCCCCCGGACTACAGGCACCCCTTCCCCGGACTACAGGTAACCCCCCCCCCCGGACTACACCCCCCCCCCCCTCCCCCGGACTACAGGTACCCACCCCGGGCTACAGGTACCCCCAGAACTATTGAGGGATTGAGGGACACAGAGAAACCGAGGGCTTTTCCGCCGGCGGAAGCTGGGTGGAAATTGACGGCGATTAGGTAGGAGACTCCATGAGAGATCAACGCCGTCTTTCCAAGAGTTTTCGGATGTTGCCAACTGTCATTTTTTCTGTCCCCGCTGTCGCTTCCATGATTCGGACATTGGGCACGTGGTCGTCAAGCTTGTAATGCTGCGTGGCGCATGACCATCGGCGTTCTGACTTACTTACGTCGTCCAGTAACATTGATGTCGAGGAAAAGGGCGGTGAGGAGGGTCCTTTTCGTCTTCTTCCTCCATTACCTCCTCGCTCCCATCTCCACTTTTTCCTCCCCCTTTCCTTTCTCCCTCCTCTCCCCAATGTACCTCTCCCTCTCCCTCGTTTCCTTCTCCCCTCTACCTGTCTTATCCCCTTGCCACGGGTTTTGTTGTTACAAAGTTCGTCCCTGTAGCGTCCTTGTCGTCGCGGGGACTTCAGTACCACCAAATCTGTCTCTGTAGCGCCCTCGTCGTATCAGGGACTCTATTGTCACAAAATTTGACCCTGTAGCGTCCTCGTCGTCTCGGGGGCGTCAATGTCACAGAATTTGTCTCTGTAGCGTTCTCGTCGTGCCAAGGGCTGCGTACTTGTCGTCTCGGGGGCTTCAGTGTTCCTAAATTTGTCTCCGTAGCGCCCCCGTCGTATCAGGGGTTCTAGTGTTACAAGCTTTGTCCCTGTAGCGTCCTTGTCGTCTTGGGAACTTCAGCATCGCAAAATCTGTGTTTCCAGCGTTCACGTCGCATCAGGGACTCTAGTATCACAGAATTTGCCCTTGTAGCGTCTTTGTCGTCTCGGGGGCGTCAGTGTCACAGAATTTTGTCTCTGCAGCGTTCTCGTCGTGCAAGGGGCTGCGAACTTGCCGTTTCGGGCCGCCAGTGTCATTAGGTTTGTCTCTGTAGCGTCATCGTCGTATCAGGAGTTTAGCGTTACGAGCTTTCTCCCTGTAGCGACTTTGTCGCCTCGGTAACTTCAGTATCACAAAATCTGTCTCTGTAGCGCCCTCGTCGCATCAGGGACTCCAGTGTCACAGAAAGTTGTCCCTGTAGCGTGCTTGTCGTCTCGGGGGCGTCAGTGTCGCAGAATTTCTCACTGTAGCGTTCTCGTTGTACCAGGGGCTGTGTTCTTGTCGTCTCCGGGGCTTCAGTGTCACAGAATCTGTCTCTCTAGCGACCTCGTCGGTACAGGGGCTCCAGTGTCACAGAATTTGTCTCTGTAGCGTCCTTGTCGTCTCGGGGGGTTCAGCGTCGTCGCTGTTCGTCGTGGGTCGTGCCTGCTCGTTGCCGCTCGTTGCTTCTCGTCGCCCCTCGTATCTGCTTGTGCTGGCGCGTACTCGAGCTTCCAGCAACATCTACCCTGCCGAGGCCTCTTCCTGTTCCTCATCTCCCCACTGGACTCCCCAATCTCATGCGTTTGCTTCTTAGGATATTTTCGGGGGGCTTTCAGGTGCATGTAGTGGGGAATTGGCGGCATTCTGAAAGCCCGTTGTGGCTTCTCGTTGCCTCTTGTGGGGCCGTTGGGGCCTCTTGGGGGATTCTCGGGAACTCTTGGAGACACCTCGGGGTGCATCCTGGGGGGTGAGCTCGAACGGTTGACTCGCGTTCTCCCTCCCAGCATCGTCTTGGGTAGTTTTGGGGCCCTAAAGGGGCCGTTTAGGCTCGGGCTCCTTTAGGGCCCCTTTCTTTACCCTCCCTCCCTCCGGGGTTACCCTCCCTTTCCTATTCGCCCGATGTGGGGGCCCCGAACCACGCCCCCAGGTCTTCTCGAACCACGACCCCGGGTCTTCCCAAACCAACCAGGTCATCCCAACCAAACGGGCCTTCCCAAACCATAGCGGCCGGGTCTTCCAAAACCAACCGGGTCTTCCGAAACCAATCGGTTCTTCCCCAACCAATCGGCCGGGCTTTCCCGAACCGGGAAGGTCTTCCAAAAACCAACCAAGTCTTCCCAAACCGAACGGCCTGGTCTTCCCAAACCAACCGCGTTTGTCCAAACCGTAACCCAGGGTCTTCCCAAACCAACCGGGTCTTCCCAAACCAGCCGGCTCTTCCCAAACCACGTGCGTGGGGTCTTCCCAAACCGCCGCGGGTCTTCCCAAACCGATTGGGCCTTTCCCAAACCAACTGGGTCTTCCCAAGCCACAACCCCAGGTCTTCCCAAACCAACGGGGTCTTCCCAAACCAACCCGGTTTTCCCAAACCGCAAACTCGGGTCTTCCGAAACCCAACGAGCATTCCCAAACCACCCGGGGCTTCCCAAACCACTACGGCCGGCTCTTCCCAAACACCCACGGGTCTTCCCAAACCAAAGCCCGGGTCTTCCCAAACCGAAGCCCCGGGCCTTCCCAAACCAATTGGGTCTTCCTAAACCACGAGGGGTCTTCCCAAACCAACCGGGTCTTCCCAAACCACGAGGGGTCTTCCCAAACCACCGCGGGCCTTCCCAAACCACCACGGGTTTTCCCAACCCAGACGTCCGGGTCTTCCCAAACCAAACGGGTCTTCCCAAACCAATTGGGTCTTCCCAAACCAACTGGGTCTTCCCAAGCCACAACCCCGGGTCTTCCCAAACCAACCGGGTCTTCTCAAACCAACCCGGTTTTCCCAAACCGCAAACTCGGGTCTTCCGAAACCCAACGGGCATTCCCAAACCACCCGGGGCTTCCCAAACCACTACGGCCGGCTCTTCCCAAACACCCACGGGTCATCCCAAACCAAAGCCCGGGTCTTCCCAAACCGAAGCCCCGGGTCTTCCCAAACCAACTGGGTCTTCCTAAACCACGAGGGGTCTTCCCAAACCAACCGGGTCTTCCTAAACCACGAGGGGTCTGCCCAAACCACCGCGGGCCTTCCCAAACCACCACGGGTTTTCCCAACCCAGACGTCCGGGTCTTCCCAAACCAAACGGGTCTTCCCAAATCACAACGGCCGGGTCGTCCCAAACCAACCGGGTCTTCCCAAACCAATTGGGTCTTCCCAAACCAACCGGGTCTTCCCAAACCAACCGGGTGTTCCCAAACCAACCGGGTCTTCCCGAACCGCAGCCCCGGGTCGACCCGAAGATCTTCCCAAATCAACCCGGGGACCCGGTCTTCCCAAACCAACCGGGTCTTCCCAAACCAGCCCGGGTCTTCCCAAACCAACCGGGTCTTCCCAAACCAACCAGGTCTTCCCAAACCATACCGGGTCTTCCCGAACCAAGGCCTGGGTCACCCAAACTAAAGTTTGGTTTGGGAAGTCCCGTTTGGTTTTAAAAAAGACGTCTCTCCCCCCAGGATGCCCCCTTTGCCCCTTCTATTTTGTTCAGCCTGTGTCAACAGGATTTACTTGTGGGGAGGGGCGCGGAGGCCGAACTTGATAATCCCCGGGGGAAGTTGCGAATCGAATTTGTTATCAGCTTATGTTGACTAGCAACAGCATCAGGCCCTTCAAGGACCCCACGGCGGTCGAGCCGAAGCGCGCCACCTTCGAGGAGGCAAGCGCTGCCGCCCAGGCCTGCACAAAGGGTGCCGAGCCTGCATCGGCGAGTGGTTCGAGGTCGTGCGCAAGAGAGGTTTCTTGGCCAGGAGCGCCAAGGACCTCTCTTGCGCAAACAAGTTGTAGCCACGAGACTCGAGATCTCTCGAGTCGGTCTCGTGCCAAGATCTACAAGGTCAGTCTACACGAGCGCCCAGGATCATCATCATCATCATCATCATCATCATCCTCACCTTCGCCGGGCAAATCGTTGAGTATCACCCCCAGGCTCCCGAACTTTATTATCCCAAGGGGATTATTATCGGGAACACTCGGTTTGCCATGTAGTGTGATCTGGAGGTGACAGCTATGGTGTGTAACATGTGTGATGTGGGGTATCTTGTGTGAGCTACGTGGTGTAGCCCATGTGGCGAGACCTGTGCCACTACAGCGCACGAGGCGCCCACGAGGTGGCACGGGTGGCACTGGCCCGCAACCGGGCGAAAGCACGCCATATCCATCCGTTTTTTAATGAGAAGTCGAAGTAAGAACCCATGACTGCAAGGTCTGCCTGGGGACAATCCTCTGGTATGACTTGTCCAATCCACCGCCCCAGAGGAGCCGACCCCTTCCCCTGGGTGTAGTCTCCCGTCCCAGATCCATGTTTCATGGTCCAGCGGGGCCCGATAACAGGCGCCCGATGTTGAAATTGAGGGGACATGCCAAGATGGAAAAGGTCAGATTGTCAGGGATCTGGGGGTGCCTCGAGTGGTCTAGCTTGAAATCCGCGCGCCGATTGGAAACGATATGGCGAGCCGTTAAGGTTTTTTTGAAGACCCGGGCAAATTTGCTTGCACGGAGGGGAGAGGGATGGGCGCGGAGGGACCCCGAATGAAAGCTGGACCTCACGCGAGGGCGCGCCTTTTCGGCCCCGCGCCGTTCGATGTTCCTTTTCCTTGGCGCGCGGAGCGCGCCAGGGGCTGCGCCAGAAGCGCCGCCAGAGGAGCCCAGCGCCAATCCAAGAACCCCGCGCGGACCGCCACAACTTTGTGATCGTGCCGTTGTTTATATATAAGTATGTTTATTATCATCCTTATGATGATTTGCATTGTTGTTGTTTTGTTTCAACGTTCTGATGATATTCGTCTTCTTCTTTTTTGTTATTCTGCCCTCATGCCCCCCCCCCGGGCCGGAGGAAGGGCCCCGCGGCGCCACCGCGCGGAGGCAGCGCGGAGGCCGCCGGCGCGGCGTCGCCAGCACCGCGCTCGGCGAGGCGCGCGCGGAAGGCGCGGAGGCGGTGCCGTTGGGCCGGGCGCCCGGGCAGGCCCCGGGGGGCAGAGTGGGGGCAGCAGGCACGAAGGGAGCAGACGAAGCAGAAGTGATCCGGAGCACTTTCTCCCTCGACTCGCCGATGCCATCGTGGTCCGTCTCTAATAGACTTGACAAGGCCTGCCAGAGATGCGCTGGGTGGTCCGGTCGGGCTGGATGGGGCACCCGGGTATTTCGACACCTGTTGCTGCGATCGCGGCTCCGCGCACAGAAGGCGACCGAACAAATGAGCTCAGGCACAGAAGACTATGGAGGAGAAAGAGAGAGAGAGAGAGAGAGAGACAAAAAACAACAAAACAACAACAACAACAACAACAACAACAACAACAACAATCACTTTACCCGAACGCTCAGTGTTCTCACCAGTGCCAGGGTTTTCATGCGACGCCAGCCAATACCCCCACTTTGTGGGGGGGCAGTGCAAGCTCTACCAAATATCCACACGACTCTTCGCCACCACCCACACCCAGCTTCCCGCCCTATGACGTTCGGACACTTCACTTCGTGGCCTGCGGACGACCGTGGCTACTACACTGGCGTGGAGTACACACCCACAGAAGTTGTTAAGCCTACGTTCGTACACCCACAGAAGTTGTTAAGCCTTGTTAGCCCACAGAAGTTGTTAACCCTCATGTAACATAAATGTTGGAAAACCATTGGTTTTTTTAGGATTCGGACAGCGCGCGCGGGTGGAAATTTTGAAAAGTCGTGCAGGTGTTTTTCGAGGACCTACGGTGCGATTCGTGTGATTTTATGATGCGCGGTGCTAAAATTCTTAAGAAGCCCAATGGTTTTTGGAGATTTCGGCGTGCGCGCGCGAAGAAAAAACGAATGTGTCCCGCATGGTATTATTTGACAGGGATGATGGCCCTGGCAGGTGCGCAACCGTTGTCGCAGAAGTTCGAAAAAGTTGCTCGCAAAAGCCCGTTTGACAGAAATGTTTAAAAAGTGTTGGGTTTCCTACGAATCCGCAAGAGCGCGCGGGATGAGATTTTGACATTTTTTTGTTGAAAAACCATTGGTTTTTTGATGTTTTTATGTTAAAATCGCTCCGAACACTAAGCTTTTGGAAGGATTTCGTCTTGCGCGCGCGAATGTCCACTTTACCTTATTTTTTGCAAGGGATTCTTGAAATTTGATTATATTAGAACAAGAAATGTCATTTTATAGTGTTTTTTGCAAGGGAAAGCGGATTACAACAAAACAACCGGATCTTGATGACATCGAATTACCTGAGGCTTCCTCACGAAAATGATGAAAATGTAGCTGCGGCCTAGGCGGCGCAGGGGGGCCGTGCACCAGGGGTCCCAACAATAATTATTCTTTAGAATTAATAATGTTCAACAACAACAACAACAACAACAACAACAACAACAACAACAATTACTAGCACGTGGGGACACTCCGTTCTCACCAGTGCCAGGGTTTTCATAGGAGGCGGGCAATACCCCCACTTTGTGGGGGGGCCGGTTCAAGCTCTACCAAATTTCCAAACGACTCTTCGCCACCACCCACACCCAGCTTCCCGCCCTATGACGTTCGGACACTTCACTTCGTGGCATGCGGACGACCGTGGCTACTATTCAGGGCCCCGCGGCCGACGACGACGGCGTGCGCGCGCGAAGAAAAAACGAATGTGTCCCGCATGGTATTATTTGACAGGGATGATGGCCCTGGCAGGTGCGCAACCGTTGTCGCAGAAGTTCGAAAAAGTTGCTCGCAAAAGCCCGTTTGACAGAAATGTTTAAAAAGTGTTGGGTTTCCTACGAATCCGCAAGAGCGCGCGGGATGAGATTTTGACATTTTTTTGTTGAAAAACCATTGGTTTTTTGATGTTTTTATGTTAAAATCGCTCCGAACACTAAGCTTTTGGAAGGATTTCGTCTTGCGCGCGCGAATGTCCACTTTACCTTATTTTTTGCAAGGGATTCTTGAAATTTGATTATATTAGAACAAGAAATGTCATTTTATAGTGTTTTTTGCAAGGGAAAGCGGATTACAACAAAACAACCGGATCTTGATCACATCGTATTACCTGAGGCTTCCTCACGAAAATGATGAAAATGTAGCTGCGGCCTAGGCGGCGCAGGGGGGCCGTGCACCAGGGGTCCCAACAATAATTATTCTTTAGAATTAATAATGTTCAACAACAACAACAACAACAATTACTAGCACGTGGGGACACTCCGTTCTCACCAGTGCCAGGGTTTTCATAGGAGGCGGGCAATACCCCCACTTTGTGGGGGGGCCGGTTCAAGCTCTACCAAATTTCCAAACGACTCTTCGCCACCACCCACACCCAGCTTCCCGCCCTATGACGTTCGGACACTTCACTTCGTGGCCTGCGGACGACCGTGGCTACTACACTGGCGCATGGGTACAGTGACTTGTTGTGGTAACATTTTCTGGACGCTAGCTTAGTATACGACTTTTCCCCCTGTTCCAACACTGGACACCTGTACTGGTTTTTGGTGGTAACGTGTTCCTGACGCTAGAATAGGAAACCACGGTAAACCAGTACGACGCCGGTACTGTCCGTTTGACAGAAATGTTTAAAAAGTGTTGGGTTTCCTACAAATCCGCAAGAGCGCGCGGGATGAAATTTTGACACTTTTTTGTTTGAAAAGCCATTGGTTTTTTTATGTTTTTATGTTAAAATCGCTACGAACACTAAGGTTTTGGAAGGATTTCGTCTTGCGCGCGCGAATGTCCACTTTACCTTATTTGTTGCAAGGGATTCTTGAAGTTTGGTTATGTTAGAACAAGAAATGTCCACTTTGCTTTTTTTTGGCAAGGGAAAACCGCCCGTAACGGGCGATTTTCAGAATTTGTTGATGAGAAAGTGGTGTGTTTTCATCTGTTTCCTTGACATCGCATCTTGAAATTGTTGAAATCACAGTGTGTTTGGAAGGATTTCGACATGCGCGCGCGGCGGCCGCGGCGATGTGCACTTCGTGTCATTTTTTGCAATGGATTCTTGAAATGTGGTTATGTTAGAACAAGAAATGTCATTTTATATTGTTTTTTGCAAGGGAAAGCGGGGGGGAACAAAACAACCGGATCCGGACCAACCCGTTTTGCCAGAGACTTCCTCACGAAAATGATGAAAACATGGCTGCGGCCTAGGCGCGGCGAGGGGGCCGTGCACCAGGGGCCCCAACAATAATTATTCTTTAGAAGTAATAATGTTCAACAACAACAACAACAAGAAGAACAACAACAACAACAACAACAACAACAACAGCAGCAGCAGCAACAACAACAGCAACAACAACAACAACTACAACAACTACAACAAGTACAACAACACCAACAACAGCACCAACAACAAATACAGCAAAAACAACAGCAGCAGCAACAACAACAACAAACAAACAGAAAATGTCTGGGCTCACGTCGCGCCCAGACCCCCGCGCGTCGTCACATAACAAATCACGTCGGGAGCGTTTTGCGATTCCCAGCCTCCTCAGGAGGACTTGCCGGGCCTTGGGACGGTCAAAACGACTCAGGATGAGAAGCCGGTCCCGGGAAGTGGGGCCAGACCTCCCTGGGGTCGCGCCATGACAGACTCACGACGTCGGGTGTCTGCGAGCGGGGGTCATCGCTAAGGGGTGTCAGCCAACCCCTCTGGCTGACGCGGGTTCGGGAGCCACGTGAGCGACGCAACAAAAATCGGGTCCGTTTTCACCGACATTCGCGCGCAAGCTGCCCGCGTGAGGTCGCCGCGCGTATAAGCGAGCCTCGTCTCCAGTGCAGCGTGCCGAGATGGCGGCCAGCGCAACTCGCCGCGTAAGGTCCCTGCGCCATCTCGCGCAAGACGCGTTGCTTTCCGTCGCTCACCTGGGGCCCCTTCCCCCTTGTCTCAGGAGGGGAAAAGAACACAGACACAATTCATCGTCGATTCCCAAGAAAATATGGGAAAATATGCGCAGTGGGGGGAAGACAAAAACGAAGAAAATTTTTCGAATATATGGGGAATCCTGTTATGGGTGTTTTTTTGTTTTTTTTTTTTGTTCTTTTTTTGTTGTGTGTGTGTGTGTCCCAGGGCCCCTTCGACGTGGGGTCCCTTCCCCCTTTGTCGCCCTCTGCTGGCCCGGGTTCCGGAGCTCTGCGGGGCCCTGGCCGACCCGGGCCCTCCTCCTCCTCCTCCTCCTCCTCCTCCTCCTCCTCCTCCTCCTCCTCCTCCTTCTCCTCTCCTCCTCCTCCTCCTCCTCCTCCTCCTCC